GAATTCTAAGCCTGGTACCCAAATCACCTGCTTATTAATTCAAATATAGCCCATACATTAACAGAAACTATGCATAGTTAGTTTTAGGTTTACTTGAATGTAAGTGAATCCAAGATCCACATTCACACAGCATTTTCCCGTATATCCTGTTTCGTTTTTTGAGATAAGTATTAGGGGTGTAAATCACAGCTTTACAATACAGTATCGATTCCTTAAGCCAACGGTTCGATATTTTTTGATACCTCAGAAATTCCCACAATACGATGCGATACGATACGATTCTATTCAGTTCGATACTGGGGATAGTAGTCGAAATGATGAAATTTCACACAATCCTTTACATTTCAATGGATTAAAAAAGGCAAATATAATTAGCATTTTATCATATTTTATTGGGAACTGTAAACAATATCTAGTGTAGTCAAGTATGTCCCATAAATCAAGCAAAATAAAGTGCAATAAGGTAAAAATAAAAACTTTGGATGGATGTAGATTAACATGGTGAATAATTTTTATTTTGAATCAAGTCTTCTCCAGACAAATACAAAAGTGTAACAAAAAGTATGTCCATAACTGTCATGAGCTGCTCGTATGACCCTCTCGTGTGCTAGAGGCTTCTTACTTGGTCCAGCTCCCCCATTCATTTTTATACCCTTTCTTAAGTTTAGTAGAAATAAATTGGAGGTTAACTAGGGGACTCGGTAGCTTGCAGCAGCTGGCGCGGTTGAACGCGTCATCCATCCTCTATTTTTTATGCCATACGATCTGCCCACACTACCTTTGCGATCGATCAGTAGATCGCGATCGGCGTATTGGGCACCCCTGGTGTAGACCATGTATACGTCGGAGTGGAACATGAAAACAATGCTGGAACAGGCCAGAAAATAAAAACGCATGTATCGATATTTATGCGGTCACATCGAAGCATCGGATCGTTTGCCGTTGAATCGATATATCGATACAAATCGATGTGTTGTTACACCCCTAATACGTATTGTGGTATTTATAATTTTATTATTGATATTTTGTCCAAAATAAAGTATGACCAAATTGATCTTTGTTAAATTTCTCACAAATGCACTACACTGTCTATGAATGAGTCCATCAGAAAGGATAAATTATTATGATTGGCTTAGAGAGCGCATACAGAGCTCATTCTAAAGCAGCAGCAGCAGTCAACACTTGACTGATTTATTTATTTGCTTGTGTATGACATTTAGGTCTACTAGCAGCAATAATTAACATTGCAAAGCTTGCCAAATTTTGTTTTCTATGACAGTAATTTTTATTTTTTTTTTAACTTCAAAATTTGCTTTTGAAAATACCGTCAAAATACTGGAATCTATGAAAATTAGATACCACCCAAGCCTCCTATGAACCCAGCTGGCGATTGTGGTCCAAGCGATGTGACAAATTTAAGAGCAAAACATGCGATGTCTATATTAACATTGCACATTGTGCAGGCAGATTGTACTTAAATATTGGCAAATTGCAAAGGAAACATTTGTTGCTACTTCTTTTACAAATGTTTACAGTTTTGCTAACTCCAAAGACATAGGTGAATGTTTATATATGTATATGTGTGTGTGTGTGTGTGTGTGTGTGTGTGTGTGTATATATATACATACATACATACATATATATATATACAGACACACACCTATATACACCTTAGGTGCTGGAGGGTTGAGTGAACGCACTCTGATCGCTGTCAAGCCCGATGGTGTACAGCGACGTCTCGTCGGTCAGATCATCCAGCGCTTTGAGAAGAGGGGCTTCAAGCTCGTGGGCCTAAAGATGTTAAAGGTTGGCAAATATGATAAAATTTAATACGCAAATGGTTTCCCTGCCGTTGCACAGTGATCTAACTAATGGATGGCTGCTGGTGGTAATCAAGCTTTGGTTGTGATGCTTTGCAGTGGGGTAATTGTTTTTTTTTTTAGATTATTTTTATAGCTGGTTAATGTTTATTCACCATGATCATCCCCGTTATTGTTCATCAGGCTCCGGAAGAGTTGCTGTCTCAACATTATCATGACCTCAGCAAGAAGCCCTTTTATCCTTCCCTGCTGCGGTACATGGGCTCTGGTCCCCTGGTTGTCATGGTGAGTATTCTATCTGCATTGAGAATACATTTATGAGGAAAGGCTAGGTAGCTGTTATAGGGAAACTAAGTTAGGCATAAGAGATGTGGAGCTGAAGATGTGCAGCCTTTAAGGAGAAAATATTATGCTGAAAGGCCTTGATGATGATAAGTGACAGATGAAGAAGTTCACTCAACACTCCCAGCCTGCACTGAGCTACTGATTGTTTGATTGGTTCATTGGTTGCAATTAAATTTGATCAAAAGTAGACATAAAGGAATTATCCCAGTGGATTACCCTTAAAAGTCTTAAAGAATTTACCTTTCTACTTCAAAGGACACCTCCATTGTTGCAATGCAAATGAGAGTCATGCAGCTGAATTGACTAGGCTAATAACATCTTATTATTCTGCTTTGCATAGTCTAAGCTAACTGTTGTCCCGCCTTTGATGCCTTTCAGGTATGGGAGGGGTACAATGTTGTCTCCACGTCCCGGAAAATGGTGGGGGACACAAACCCAGCTGAGGCCCCTCCAGGCAGTATTCGAGGTGACTTTAGCATTCACATTAGCAGGTAATCTAACTGCAATAACCGGATAACTCTGACAGAACATATCTGACAAAAACATTCAAGTCATTATAATAGATTGCCTATTATTAATTTTCCCTTTGAATTAGCATTTCAGCAATTATTCTGCATGTTCAAGAACCATAATCACGAGAAATTAAAATTAAGGAATAACTTTTAGGTATTAACCTGTTTCTGTGAAACTGGGACACAGCATACTGACTCATTTTACTCAAGCATTCAGTTGCTTTTTAAATTAAATGTAATAAATAGAATGACAAAACCCCTTTCAATATCTGAGGCTGCTGCATTTTTTTTTTATTATTAAGGCTGGTCAAAAAAGCCAAAACAGCGAAAGCCTGTAATGACCACACTCCTGCTGCTAACCATAGCCTCAGAACACAGAATACATTGCTGAGATGAATACTCAAAGTTTTGATATCACACATACCCATGATGTTTCCTATTTGACCATGCCTTAGGGGTGGCCAATACGGCAAATATATCGTATCATGATTTTCTTTCAGAAAGGATCAATATCCACAATCTTATCATGATTCTTTTCCATGTTGGCTTTTAAGACTGTTTTGCAAGTTACTCAACAGTGCAACCAAACTAATTCTTCTGTTTAAAAAAAACTGTAGCCCTATAGGGTAACACAGCCTAAGACAAAAAATGTTGTAGATGTCAAATTCTTCTTACGGACCAACTCCTCCACTACGTTGCCAAATAGGCACGTTACGGAGTGCACGTTACGGAGTGCACGTTACGGAGTGCACGTTACGGAGTGCACGTTACGGAGTGCACGTTACGGAGTGCACGTTACGGAGTGCACGTTGGGACGAAAGCAAGAGAGGGAGAAATCCAAGCCTACTGTTTGGTATTACCGGTTTATTGGTGTCTTGAAACAGATTTTGCTGACAAAACAACTTCAGATGCATGTATGAGTCAGAACTGCACCTGATAGAATGTGCAAAGTAGCACTATACTAACAATCTCGCCGTAAAGGCAGATTGTTGAGAAATTATAATCGTTCATAATCTAATATTGTCAAACTTCACACCCTTACCATGCCTGCAAATTGATTTGCTGTTTGTTTTTGCCCTGCCCCTATTTGTCATCCCCACCAATCACTATTGCATTTGTACCTGTGTTCTTTCTCTCTTGCCCAGAAATGTGGTCCATGCCAGTGATTCCTTGGATGGGGCTCAGCGGGAGATCCAGCTGTGGTTTAACTGTAAAGAGCTGACAGACTGGGACTGCCACGACCAAAGCAGCACTTTCCACTTGTGAGAGAGGATTGGGAGGGAGCCCCGTGCCACTACTGTGCCTGTTTTACCATATCGACACCGTTACTACCTCTATGTGCGTGTGTGAGCGGCACCCTAGCTCTGCCTGCACCCCAGGCCCAATACGCCATTCCAGAATCATGCCGGCAGCGGCCCGGTCTGCCCATGCTCTTCAAAGACGTGGCTGAGGGGTAACCATGACGTCATTCTGCTTCGCTTTTAATTTCTTTAAATGAATCGAATCAGTGTTGTTGTATTAAAATCACATGAAATTTGAGAAGACTGGTTTAGAATTTTAAATGATTACATGGGGGCTGGTAATGTCAACATTAAAAAAAAAAACTCCTGAATGATTTAACTAAAAATTACACAAAGTAAACTCTACACATTTGTAATGGCAAACATATTGCGAAGGTCAGCTTGACTTTGAGGTTTTTGTACAAAGCCCTTTCTCCCAAACCAAACAGAACTTGGTGAAAACCCCTCAGAAAAAGGATTCTATTGACTTAACGTACATAATCAAATTATCTTTCCAGCCTACAGTGGAATATTATCATCAACTGGAAAAATTGCTCAACAATTGTCAATATTTCTCAGATCACATTGGTCAAGACAGTATTTTAGTTCAAATAAATTTTACTGTTGAAATTCACACATGTTTGTTGGTGTATTTCTTTCACTAAGATTTGTTAGTTTACTAATTTGAAAATGGAATCTGTCCATATGAAAATATTTTAAACCTCTATACACTATACCTTCATTGTAATGTTGATTACAGACTATCTCGGCGTGGAGTGACTGGAGTATAAAAATCAAAGTGCACTTTTAACAAAGTTCTAATGTATTTGTATTTTGTTAAAAGAAAACCATACTTAAAGTAATTGTAGATGTGTTCATACAATATCAAGAAGTACTGTTTTGATTGGGCTATTTCCAGGGCAGGCTCTAGCTATATGCTGAGAATACTACTGCCTACTGTATGGCCCCGAAACTACCTGCGTTGCAGAAGAAGTGGAATGATAATCGATTTTCATGACAGGGGAGCCTCCCAAGTTAGGTAAGGCCTAGGCTAGGGCACGGGAAAATGTACACACAACAACAACAATGAGAGGAAGAGGAACTACGTACGCAGTTGTAGTCCAGAAGTACAGAAGAACTACAAATCCCAAAATCCGCAATGTTTAAAGATCAAAGTTTTCGGTGAAAGCTGGAAGGTAATACATGCACGTTTAACGTCTTTAAGTTATGTGTTGTGTAAATGCATTTCACAGGAAACGTGCACAACAAATTTATTTAAGATGCTGCATATAATTAATGGCGTTTACGTTTTTCTGCACGTCAGATAGTGGAGAAACGATTGTCTATCAGTGTTAACCTAATGTGCCACTATGTATGTGCCTATGGAATTCTGTTTTGTAGAAATGTTTTGGTGATCGTCATTTACGAATCGACACCACTATGCAAAATCCGCGTCGGATAATGCCTACAAACTTCCAGTGTTGTTAATTGTTTTCTTGTCTTTGTTTAGTACTCACTTATGTTCGTAGCCTACGAAACATATATGGAGCTGTTTTTTACTTCGTGTGTTCGTCTGATCAGTAACATTTCCGCAATCTGGTCTTTTTTTTTTAAATAAGTTTGGAGACAACCGTACCTTCGTTTAGAAAGGAAACGTTGTGTTCGTGCACACTGTAATAATGGCAGAAGTAGCCGAACACCTAGACGTACCCGAAGACGTGGATACGGACGACTGCATGACGTCCTACTCGTACATTTACAGCCCCGATTTGCTCAAGTGAGTCCTTTGCATGGATGTTTTGTTTCTATTCATTATTAGACGTCATAAAGCCAATGTCGCCTTCAAGCAGCTGTACATATGACACTCGGTCTGAACTTACTGTCTTCTCTCTGATACCTTCAGGCTTTCCAATGGCACAGTTATTGTGTTTATTGATACCATCCGTCTTGCTGCTGGTGGTCGTCCTATTTTATCTTAACATTTTCCAAGCATTACGGTTTTCTTAAATGCACGTGTTATATTATGCATGTAAACGGCTTTAAAGTACTGGAAAAGTGGTCTGGATCCTCAGTGTGATATGTATTTATTTATGATTCATAGGGACAAGGTGGCCTTTATAACTGGTGGCGGATCTGGAATCGGATTCCGGACAGCAGAAGTACTAATGCGGTAAAACACCTCCTGATGTGGGAGTGTACAAAACCGGGATTCTCTTTTGTAATGAGTAACACATACAACGTGCCTTTGTGGTCTCTTTCAGGCATGGGTGTGACACGGCCATAGGCAGCAGGAATACGGAAAGGCTTTCTGTGGTAATTTATATATATATATATATATATATATATATATATATATATATATATATATATATATATNACACACACACACACAAACACACACATACACACAGTTATTCAGGCAGTGGGTCAGGATATTCATTATAGGATATATTAGGGGCATCGTTAGGCTTTTTTTAGCCCCCACAAATAAATGTGCATTAATTATTTTAAGTCATGAATAGCTTTTTATATTATATATGTTTGCCATCGCCCCCCAGTAAAGACTCAGCCTCCCCATCCATTCATCTCTCACTACCCCCCTGGGATATACTCTACACATACCTGTATTTGAAAACTGCTGTAATATCTGTGAATGTGATGATGCCATTTGCACCCAGATCTTTGTAGCCTGCCAGTTGTTTTGCCTCATTGGGCCCTTTCAGCAGCTCGATAAACGTGTTGGTCCCCAGGCTTCCAAGAAGCTGATGGCCGCCACCGGACGGCTCTGCCTTCCTGTGGTCATGGATGTGCGACAGCCCGAGACCATTGGTGCAGCCGTAGAGGAAACACTTAAGAAGTTTGGGAGAATCGACATCCTTATTAACAGTGTGTTTGCTTGCCGCCTGAACAAATACACCGATATACATTCTGTGCCGTGGTTTTGACTGTGTTTCCTGTGTTTGTCTGTATGCTTTTACGGGGATATAGTGTTTAGGTGTTAGTGTTGACTCTAAGACTTAATGACTGTCACATACAAATACAAAGGCCTTGTGGTGCATAGCTGTATGTTTAGCTCTAATATTAGTTAGAATTCATTAAATTCTCCTCTTGGGCATTAGTGCTATGTGTTTACTCTTTTAATTATACATTTGACTCTCCGTAATTAGTGTTGTTTGCATTAGTTTCTGTCATGTGGGATGTTTACTTAATAGATTGTTTTGTCTTTTACTGATTAGGAAGAAAAATAAAATCCCAGGGGGCTAAATGACTGGCGAATGAGCTGCTGTGGTTCTGGTTATTTATCCTGCTGCTTTCATATGCACTTGTCCTAATGGTTGTTAAGAGGAATGTGCTTCACAGAATCCCTGTTCATTTGTGCATAAACTTTTCTCTCACTAACTCGTTGGAGGGGGAATCTGTTGTCCTAACATCAGAACTGTAAAATCTGTCATCTCTTTGCATTGTTTTTACTTTAGTATCTTATTATTAATCTATCTGTGCTTGTCCTATTTGATACTTTCTCTCTCTGCACTGCGTTAATTGGCTTTATTGCACCTTTTAATTTTCAGATCTCCCATAGTTTAGTCTTAAAATCCAGGGTTTTCTAGTTTTTAGTTATTGATGTTTTCGTTTACGTGTAGCGTTCAAAATGACATTTACCTTTTAAGATTTTTTTGGCCCTACTGCTCTTATGTGACATCGAATGATTAAGTCGTGTGATTCAATATGCGCTTATATTTCTTGTGTTTTCGTTTTGTGCAGATGCTGCTGGTAACTTTCTCTGCCCAGCCACATCTCTGTCCTTCAACGCATTTAAAACTGTCATGGAAATTGACACCATTGGGACATTTAACACAAGCAAGGTGGTCTACGAGAAGTGGATGAAGGTACCATGAACTTACAATGCCTTTATCTGGTTTCATTTTGGTTATTGTGTCAATAAGCTGTATAGTTCAACATGCTTGGTTTTTTCTTCTGCTTAGGACCATGGAGGCTCCATCGTGAACATCTCTGCCACCCTTGGTTACAAAGGCCAGGCACTCCAGGTGCATGCTGGGTCAGCCAAAGCTGCCAATGGTGAGAAATGCATAATGTGATGCAGCTCAGCATGCTGTGTCTTTGGCACTCTGCTTTGTGTTTTGCTGGAAGGTCCATCGTTTTCCCAGCCTTCTGTTCACCTCACACCTTTCCTTTGCTGCGGTACAGATGCCATGACCCGACATCTGGCTGTGGAATGGGGCCCAAACAAAGTGCGGGTCAACAGTCTGGCACCTGGACCCATTTCAGGAACAGAGGGATATCGCAGATTGGGTATGTTGCTGTAACTAACAGCACTGAAAATGTCTATCCCTATTCTGATTGTCTGTTATGAATTATCATCCATTTCATCACTTTGTTTTTAGATGGATAATTTTTGATGCATTCAGCAGAACTGCCTATATGTGATTCTGTTGCCCTGCTCTTGGGAAAATGATGATTTACCTTTCTCCTGCCTCTGTATCTTATCATCATATTTGTAAAACACTTTGGTCTAAAGAGACACATGAGTGAGAATCACAGAGCAGTGTCAGCCAGTGTTGCTGGAGCATTTGGGGTTAAGGATCTTGCTCAGAGGCCCAATGGTAAAATCACTCTGCCAGTCGTGGGGTTTGAACCAACAACCTTCTGAAGAGAGGCACACATTCCTACTCCATAGAGCAACACACCACCTCTCTGCCCACTCCCCACATCATGAATTATTTCTCCTGCTTACATCTCCAGGAGGTTTAAGGGCACAGAGCAGCGGTGTGTTCGAGACCATCCCCCTACAGCGTGCTGGGAATAAGACCGAGATGGCTCATGGTGTCCTTTTCCTGGCCAGTCGGGCTGCCTCTTACGTGACAGGCGCCTGTCTCGTGGCCGACGGTGGAAGCTGGCTCACTTCTGCAAACAATCTGCCTGTCCTCCTGGGTATAGCCTCTTCCCAATCTGCTAAACTCTAAGTCCACTAACATCCCAGGTGTGTGGGAATGGAGAGGAAAGAAGTAAAGAGGAAGTGGGAGTTATTAATTGATAAGTGTAACTTTTGAGGTTAAATATGCCACTGGGTGGATTGTAGCAACAAAAGATATAAGATAAAATCCGTTATTGCATTTGATTGCATACTAGATAATTATTTTATCCTATTTTGCTTTATGTTTTGGCCAAGTTAGGATGCCATTTTATGTTGTTAACATAAAAACATCGACTTACTTTATTTTTTCCTTGCATTTTTCCAGATCTTTGGGCATCTGTACCGAAAAGAGACAAATAGGACATTTTAAAGTGGAATCATGCAAAAATCCTGTACAATCATATATTTGTTACTAGAAATCAATAATTGATCAGTCATAGAGGCACTGGTATCCGAGAAGAGCATTCCTGTCAAATGCAGTATGACTGTCACGATGGTAGCTTTTGTTTCACTGAACCCAGCGCCCTAATTGTTTAAAATGCATTATTAAAACTCAGGTCTGTATGCTAGTAAAAGTGGATAAGCCTTTACTTTGCATAGAGTCCTGTTTTCAATTACCTTTGTGTGTATTATTTGAAGATTGTAACTAAGGAAACACTTATAACTGCATATAAATAGGTCATTGGGTCTGTCAAATAATGATCACTCTAATACAGGAGTAAAATGCAATGTCAGAGTATGTAATGGTTAAGGTTTTAAACATTCCAATGTCAATGAAGCTAACCCTGGTACTTAATTTCCAACTGGATAAATGCCATGGAAATGCATCATTAAAATCTATTAGTATTAGCTGCTTAAAATAAAAACTAAAAATGTACATGTTGGTAGGAACCATCATCCATCCATCCATACATCCATCCATCCATCTATCCATCCAAAACAGTACCTGTGAGTATGTAACTTGACAAGTTTGACATTTTATTGTATTTTGAGTATTTAATGAAAGTATTATTAGTCAGTGGAAATAATGTTTTTTCTTCATCATATATGACGCTAGCACCAAATAAACTACTCAAATGACATGTTTTATTGATATTAGTACATATATCAGACAGTCAAATGTTATTTAGTATAGTACAATTTCATTATTGATAGGGCAATTGATTTTCCCAAGAGACTTCAAAAAAAAGCATATTTGCCTAAAAGTCCGATTTTTTTATTCCTGTGGTTTCTCTAAGGATAGTGGTAGAGTACTGTGGAATATGTCTCAATGTCTGGTTTAGGAAGCATGTAATGTGTTTCTTAATCATAACGTATAACGATGGACTTAATATAAACAGGCTACAGTGTTTAAGGGGGGTGGGCAAAATAATGGGAACTGTTGACATACAGAAAAAAAGTCGACGGTTCTTTGAAAAGTGAAGTACTTCATTCTGTGCTCTGGAACTTCCTGTAAGGGCTGCTGGATGAGGAACACGGTGAGGGAACAGCATTCATACTGTAAAGTGCACCTGATCTTGTAAGATGGTCTTGTATCCCTTGGATCTTAAGTGACCGTGCAAAAGAATGATTAGAAATAATGTGTTAATGGTGTGGTTTCCCACATGGGTATACACTCATTGCCCACTTTATTAGATAAACTGGTCATTGAGGCAAATATCTAATTAGCCAGTTATGTCACCACCACAGTGCATAAAAACATGCAGATACTAGTTAGGGGCTACAGATAATGTTCACATCAAACAGCTGAATGGGGAAGAAAGATGATTTAGTGACATTGAACATGGCATGGTTCTTGGTGCCAGGCAGGCTGGTATGAGAATTTCAGAAACTCCTGCTCTACTGATATTATCACGCACAACCGTCTCTAGGGTTTACAGAGAATGGGACACAAAAAAGGCAGTTCTTTGAGCAAAAATGTGTTGTTGATGACAGAGGGCAGAGAACAATGGGCAGACTGGCTCAAGCCGATAGAAAGGTAACTGAAACTCAATAACCCCTAATTGCAATCATGGTATGCAGAAGAACATCTCTGAATGCATAACAGGTTGAACCTTGAAGCAGATGGTCTACAACAGGAAGACCACTCATGTCAGCTAAGAACAGAAAAATTAGGCTACAGTGGGCACTGGCTCACCAAACCTGGACAAAGGAAAAATGTTGCCCAGTCAGATGAGTCTCTGTTTTTGGAAAAAGGTCTGCTAAGAAAGTCATGCAGTAAATGATTCCATCCATCAGTACATCTCTGTTCTTCTCAGGATAGTTTGGAAAATAGATTGTGAACTATCTTAATTATTATACATCTTCCGCGATAAAAATCTGAACTTTGTATAATTTAAATATACTTTTGTGACGACTTAGGCAATGTAACAGTTTTCCTGCATGTGATTTATGAGCTTTTTTACTTCTTACAAATATGCATATTTCTTCTTCAATTTATATTATTTTAAGAATAAAATAAGAAACAAAAATATATCATTATAAGGTTTTGTTTTTTCAGACGTCTGCTTTAATCTTTCAGTAGGAAAGCCTGGGTTGACCCGAATCTGGGTCTTTTAAAGATTATATCCATGTTCAGCCAGAAGAGGGCGCCAGAGCATACCATAACCGTCGGGGCTCTTAGACATTGTTGTATTTTAAACCATGATGCAATTTACCACTGTCTCATACTCCATATACTTTAGCATTCGGATACAGTAACTTAGTATTTGCTTAATATGTAGTTTACATACATCAACATATGGACATACGTATTGAGTCTTTAAGTTCATCGATGTTTACAAACGTGAGAATATTTTAAAACTGAACCATTTATGTCTTGCCTATACAGACACATCGCGACGCGCAGAACCCCAGCCAGCTCCTGTCGCGCGGCCGTGGCTTTTGAGATTTTGTGTCGGCGGACTGCGGCGCTCCGTCTGCGCGTGCGCGCGGCGAAACTCCTGACGTCAGTGCTGTATGCGGCTGGCGGCGATGGCAGATCCGCTGCTGATGCGAGGGGTACAGGAGCGCGGTCGGCCCGTGGAACCGACGCTGGGAGGAATATAAACGGGAACGGCTGCTTTTTCCCATCGGGGGACAACGACAAAACGATCATCGTCAATGGCGAGGAATACGGGACACCTATATTAATCTCACGGCTGGGAAATAAGGACATTCGGACGGGCTAAATGGATAAAGCAGAGCGAGCTAGTTAACACAGGTGGATTATTCGTCTTCAATCGGGCGGCGTTTCTTCAGTGGCCGAAAATCTGAAATCTTATTAAAATATACAATGGTATGACGGGGGATTGGAATTGGGATTTTTTTTTTGTCGTGTTTTTAAATCCTGAACAGCGAAGAGATGGTGAAGGCCAGTGATGTAGGGGAGCGAATTGGCTAGTTGAGCCTTGCTTTCGGGACGAAGGATGCTCGCAGCTGTAAAACGGCACATAACGCTCGTTGGCTGACAACTCTTATGTTTTATAACCCGTTTAGCGTCACCCGGCCAGTCGGAATTTGTAACCGAGTTCTGAGGATAACGTACAAGGTGTTTTAAATGGAAATATCTTGGACTAAGGAGATGTCACGGTTTTAATTAGCTGGCTAAATCGGGAAAATGTGCCAGTGGGTACTAACATGAAGCGACGAGCTGGAGCTACCGCTGTAGAGTACAATAAATGTGTCTTATAAAAATTGTAATCGTCCTGGACACTTAAAACTAATTTATTGCTTAATTTTATTTATTTTTCTGTGGCTTATTAGCTTGCTTACTAGGTAGGCTCCCGGCCACCCAGGTATCACTAGGGCTAAATTTACAGCTCCGCACCGGTTATTTTCGTAAAACCCCGGGGTTCAGCCGCCACCCAGCCGGCGTGTTACCACAGCCGAGCGCCCAAAACCTCTTTAATATCGGTGTAGCTGTAGCTGTGTGGGATACCGGGTGTCGTCGGTACGCGGCACCTCCAATGTCAAAACGGGGACATGGCGTTGTTTTTGTTGTAGTATTTCACTGGAGGAAGAAAACGAATGGCGAAATCACACGACCTCGTCCCTGTAACGCTGGTTTTCGTTTAGTCGACATCAAAGTGGTCGGGAAAGGAGAGGAAGTGCTCATTTAAGGCTTATTTTGGGCAGCGTAATGCTAATGGTAATGCTAGCGGTCAGCGTGTGGTAATATGTTGCTTAGCAACTTTGGGTCCGAAGAGCCCTTCGCGGAAACGTACAGAATTGTATCTAGCAGTGTTTTTGCCTCATTAAACAAACGCTTCCATTAGCCCTTCTTTATTTTTCCAAGGCGACATATTCCACGTCTCATACGCATCACCTTAGTAATTAGACCAGACAGGGAACGAGTAACCGAAACAACGACGAATCAACGTATGAGGTTTATGCGCAGAAATTGTAGTTGCTTTTTAACTAAATGTATTGGGGATTAACTGCGTAATGGCAATGTTTATGGTAGACAGGGTTAAGCAGGTGTTGTTATAATTTAATCGCAAGAATGTGTTTGAATCGTTTCTGGGATAAGCTGGCATCTAATAAACGCGTGAGGCCTCCTTTTCGGTGGAAAGGGACTCTGATTAATTCAGTTTCACAGTATTGACTACAGAATTAGCTTAAGCGACGTTTAGACTTCTTTATTTCAAATAAAGGGTGTTGTAAGACTGCCTTAGGATAAAAATTAATCATTTAAAAATTATAAATAAATGGAACAAGTCCTTCTGTCCAGCCCTGGTGGGCATTCAGAGTGGGAACTGGAGCAGAAACCAACCCTGGGATTTCTTCTCCTGGATCCAGATAAAGAGTCTCTGTCCAAGAGAAGCAACAACAGCCCAGATTCAGGACTGGATTTCCGGGAGTCTGAGAAAGACCTGGTCTCATTTAGTCTGGATGAAATTCTTCAAGATAATGCCTTAAAGCTCAATGACCTTTTTCAGAACTCCAGGTATTCCAGTGTGGACCAGTTACTGTCCTGGGAGAAAGGACCAGAATGCCCTGTACTTCAGTGGGACAACCATTCCTCCCAGTCTCCAGATTGTCCCCATAAGGAACCTGCAGGGGTAATGAACTTTCCCATTGCTGCTGTTGAACAAAATTTTGATGATGCTTCTCCTGTCCATGTCTTCTCTAGCACCCTTGAGTGCAATCAAGAGGATATTTTGGTTCAGGAGCTAGAGCTTGACCAGAATGCACAGAATATTCACAGCACTTCTGATAAACTTATTGATGTCAGGGATATTCCTTCACAATCGCCGGTTTTCTCAAAGACTTTGGATTGTAAATGGGAAGATTTAAGTTTTTTGGACACTTCGCTGTATCCTGAAAATGAATCCCCCACCTCTTGTTCCCCTCTTCCCAATGAGGTACAAGTGGGTGACAAAGAGGATCTGTCTGTCTTATCACAATATGAGGAGAGCGTTCTTACTCTCGCGTCACAAGGTGAGGAGAGAGTGTCATGTGAAACCGGGGACAAAGGTTTACCCTTTGAATTGCGGATGGATCCGCTCACACCGAGTAACGCTATCCAGGTGGGTTCACCTGAGAGCCGCGTGAGCAGCCCTTCTCACGTCACCCGCCCGAGCGACTGTCACAGACCGCCGGGACTTTGCAAGTCCTCCATGCTTTTACACAATGGG